CCCAATGAATGGATCTTTTTGCTCGCCATAGCTCCAGTTCCTGCATTTGAAGTCTCATATCCCAGCCAAACCTTTCCCACAGAAAGGAGGCTGATCTCAAGAAGCCCAGGAAAGTGACGGTCCAGCACAGTGAGTGTCACTCTTGGCTTCTTCAGCTCAGCCAGAAAAGAGCACAGAGCAAAGATGAACATGGTTTCTCTTGAAAACATCTTGAAAAGTTTCATAAACCTTATGGTGAGATCATATAAAGATGCCTTTGATTCATTTAGATGTTCATTTTGCTTAGCTCAGTGCTCATTCTTCTGCTGAACTGAGAGGGACCAAGACCAGCATCTGCTTCTTCAGAGTGGGTTTTCTTTTTGCTCTCCTGAAACAACCAAAGAGAATCAAACTATTGCACTGAAGACATCAGAGCAGCAGAAATAGAACTGGCAGACCCCAGGGTTTTGCTGTAGCTCTCCATGTACATTAAGATTTTGGAGTGGCTGGAGCAACCAGAGGGATGTGGTGGCTGCCTGGCATTGGCCACCACTCTGGACATCAGCCTGAAGGATGCCACTGTGTAGCCACATGGGCTGGGAGCAGGGCAGGTGGCTTCCCCTGGGGAATACAGGGCTTGAGCTTTCCATTCCACAGGCAGAGCATTTTACACCATGAGTGGGGTCCAACACCAGCACGAATGCCCAGAACGGTGATGAGCTCTGCACCTTTGCAGATCCTCAAAGCTCAGCTGGAGCAGCCCTGAGCAGCTGCCACTGCATAAAGCAAGAGGTTAGACTGGGTATTTCCAGAGGTGCTCTGACCTGAGCAACTTGAAAAAAAGACATGGGTCATTTAGCTTCTCACAGCTGCTCTTCAGATTCAATGGACCCTGGGCTTCTGACAGGGCCACTCCACTGGTATCAGCACCCTCTTCTAGTGGGAACAGCTTTGCAGCTCTCTGAAGTCATGTACACAGGAAAGGAAAAGCCTCTGAAATCATCAAGGAGTCAGGAGAAAGTAATTGCCTCTTACAAGGACCTTTTAAAAAATAAGAAGTCTTAATTTTGTCTTTATTAAAAAATAAAAAAACCAAACCTGCATACCACCTTCATATTTCAACTTTACCTGTGGGCTGTGAGTTCCTGATGATTTTTAGACCAACATCACAACTGCAGAACATAACCACTGTTAATAATGCCAAGCAGAGACTACTGAGACAGGGCTGTTCTTTAAAGTAGGCTCTTCTTTTTCACACAGAAACAGAAACAAAGGCAATAGGGAGCACGAAACATCACCATCACTTCTGAGAGCCCCACTCAAGTAATTTGCTTTCACACATTTTGTTGCTTTCCATCTCCCATCTTTGAGTGCCTTTTGTTGTTTCTAATAGATAACACCAGCTTCAAAGTTTGGAGGAACTGTTCTTTTTCTGCCAGTGTTGTCCTTTTTTCCTTTATTCCTTTAGCAAATACTGATTTTTTTTTTTTTTCAAGTTAAAAGGGGCTGCTTTAACAAAGCATGTCCAGGATCCAGAAGAGACAGGTGTCTTGCACTGTGGCATCCTGAGTTCATGGAGAGATGGAAGGAACCTGTCCTGACCAGCAAATGCAGCTGCACCCTTTCCCCCTCCATCCATACAGCCTTGTGGATGGCAGAGAAAGTCCTATTATTCTGATTAAAATCTGTGCACTAAAAGCTCTTGTACTTTTATTTAAGGGATGGCATAAGCTTGGTAGCAGTTGGATGAAAAGCAGTTAAGAAATCCCTTACTTTTGCCCCTCAGAAGAGGGCACAAAATTTTGGAGTTTCTTGCAGTGTTTGTGAGCGCCTGGTGGCTCCAGCTGTGGTGCAACCAGTTCAGTGTTGACTTCAGTGCAAACACTGATGCAGAGCTGCAGGCAGCTGATGAAGTGTCTTCATCATAGTTTGCTGAGTGCCTTGTCTATATTTTTATGATTTATTACTTCCCTGACTTTCTTAGGTGTTAGAAAGAACAATGAATCAATCCAAGCGTTTTCAGAGTGGGGACTGCTAATTGCATGAGCTCTGTTTATCACTTGAGAGCTGCAGTTTTGACAAGTCTCTTGACCCCATGTTAATACACGATTAATTATTGTTAAACCCTTTGTTTCTGCAGAAACAAACAGGATAGGTTTGTTTCTGCAGAAACTCTTCAGAGTTTTCTGCAGAAACTCTTCAGAGTTTTTCTTTCTTTCTGAACAAGCAATAAACATAATTATGTTTACACTGCTGGAACAGGTGGGGAAAGAAGGTGCTTTTGAAGGCATGAGGGTAAACCATCGCTGCTCAGAGATGGGCATCCAGAGAGCACAGGCTGAGGTTATGGGGAAGCAGGTTGGAAGCTGTTCTTTCTCATGACTCCTTGGTGGCTCCACGCCAGCTTTCCCTTTCCTGTGTATGGCACTACAGAGGATCTGTATCACTGCAAGCAAGGGCAGAGGTGCTGCATCCCCTGGTGTGTGAATGGGGGGTGGGAAGCACCATGGGCAGGCTACAAGGTTATTGGGGTGCCAGATGTTTGTATCATTTCACAACCGATGGAACAAGCTACGATGCTGTGGACTCTGCTGGGCCATTTCCCCTGGAGGCTTAACCTGCCCTGCCATGCTTCGCCTTGCTGTCCTGCTCTGTCTTTGCTCTGTCTGGTATTGGTATTCATTCCCCTCAGGACAGGGGTCTTCCTTCCCAGTGGAGGGAACCTACCCCATATGCAGCTACTGGCTCACCTGGAGAGGCTTGGGGTGATGCAGGAGTTGTCCCCAGGCTCATCCCAAGCAGAAGGACCTGTCTCCTTTTCCTGTCGCAGGTCTTTGGAGCTAATGCTGCTGGGGAAGGTGTTGAGTTTTATCTGTGGGCTCAAAAACATGGCCAGGATGGGTGACCCTCACCCTTGGGGAGCCCCAAAGAGATATCCAGAGTGGGGGTGTCCATGGTGAGATGCTTCTCAGGGAGCCCCAATGTGAGTGCTGTGAAATGGCAGTGACCACCAGGAGTGACCACGGGAAGCACAGGAGCTGGTGACAAAGGCAACATAATGAGCAGCAGACACAGTGAAGCAGCATTTTAAAATACCACAAAACAGTCGCAACCAGAATGGCTGTGCCATGCAACAGCCTTAGAAAATACTAGAAAGAAATAGAAATACAGGTTTAATTGCCTGTATTAAACTGCTTTATCCTACATAATTTTATTATTTCTAGAAAATTTGGCCCAGCTCATCATGGTGGGAGGTAAAGTTGCCAGGAGACCCTGAAATTTGTCACTGTGGGTTACTACAGGGCACAGAGGACAGTATCTGTCTGCACAAAGGCCTCCTCTGCACACCAGAGGTGCAGGGCCATGCAGGACCTGACCTTGCTGCTTCCTGTCCCTTGTGTTTCAGCGCAGCAGCAGCACCAACAGGCTGAAAGAGAAACCCTGCAGGGACAAGCCTCTCTCTAAAGTTCACAGCACACAATACAGTGGCCAGCCGGCTCTGTGCCCTGCAGAGGTACAGACGGAGTCCCCTAGTCCCCTCCATCAGCTTCAGCCCCATCCCCCACAGGCAGCATCTCCACCAGGACACATGCAGCCATTCCCCTGTGAACAAGGGGGCACTCATTGAGAGAGGGCATCACAGCACCCTTTGAGACCCCTTCTCATCCTTCCAGTGGCCTCTGTGGAGAGATTTGTACCACCAATCTTGGTATCTTCTAGTATTCCCAATTTGCACTTGTCAGTGAGCTGGGCTAGCCCTAGCCCCCACAGCCAGGCTCTAACTGCAGTGGGGAAGGGGCACTTGGGGCTGCACTAGTAGGAGGGTGCTTTAACATCACCTTTGATTCTCCCCAGCCTTTCCTAGGTGTTGGGCAGCTCACGTGGTTGGGCAAAGCTTTTCCCTTACTCTGATTTTGAAGCTTCATTCTACTGTAAGCCACTGCAACATGTTTATAGCAACCAGCATTTTCCCATCTGGCCCTGTTCAATTTGCTCACCCCATTCAGAACACAGAGAGAATGACAGGATAAATGTAATGAGAGTTCTGGAAACAGCCAACCTGTCTTCGTCGTTGTTTCTTATGGCTGTCCCCTGTCCCTGAGGCCATGCAAAGGCAAGAACAGAGCTCTCAGGGAGAGAATGGGCTCTTCTCCCACGGCAGGAAGCATCTGTCCACTAACGAGGCCCACATGGCCCTGGGTGAGGGCAAAGAGCACAAGGGTATGGTGTGCACAGACCCACTGACATGTGGTGAGGTTAATTGCTCTGCTTAGTTTTAGTCTATCGTGCTCTGGAGAGGGAATACACTTCACTGGGCTGGGGGAAACAATGCCGACTGATTTGTGCAGAAGAAAAGCCTGTTCCTTTAATCTATTTGAAAGCTTTTGCACATCAAAGTCTTGGCCAGAAGTGCTATCACTGATATTACTGGTGTAGACAATTGCAAAGGTTTTGATAAAGACCTTTGTGGAAGAGCTGTTCATGGGGGGCAAAGAAGGGTCATGGTTTTGGGCAGCAGCTAAGAAACAAAAACCTCAAAAACAATATGAAGGCTGCACAAATGTCACACAGTTCCTTATCCCAGCCAGGGATGATGAGGATTGCCAAGGGTACCACCAAAGCCAGGGGAACAGGCCAGAGTGGGGGAAGAAGATCCCCACCACAGACACAGCCTGGGCAAGGCTCCCTGAGAGGAAGGGGTAACAGTTGTGCTAAGTCCAGATCAGTTCTCACCTCTTGAAGAGAAAACCGAGCTAGGGCCATGGGCAGTTCACCACAGTGGTCCATTGGGGGTTACAAATACATGCCATTATCCCAAAAACTCCTAAAAAATGAAGATATTGGATAGAACTCAGGAGAGAAAGTAGCAGAGAACTGTATCTAAATGGTCAGATAGGAAGGAAAAGGAGGTCCTCTTTTTGCACTGCTGCCTCTTACCAACTCCCAAATTACACATCAAAAAGACAGGAGGGGAGCATTTCCAAGATAGGAAAGTAAGGAAGTTAGGAATAGAGTCTAGCTAGAATCAAAATTATTTTAATTTCTAGATGAATTGAGTAAAAAGCAACATAATGGCCAATATACAAAATAACAAATGGCACAAAAGAGGTGCATATAAGTACTCCTATTTTCACTTTGCACATAAAAAGAGAACAAAGGGACAGTCAATAAACCCAAGCAGCACCACACATACAAGGATAAGAGAAATACTGTTGTTCTAATGCACTCTGCATAATCATCCAGGGTGCTCCCTGTTCCAAAATATCACTAAAATTGCAGATGCAGAGAGACTTGCAAGAAAGAGACAAGAACATACCTGTGAAAGGAAAGACGATTTGCAGTTATATTTGCTCTGTGTGAGTTACTTGAGCAGAAAGCAGTAATATAGCTTTTAAGAGAGAAATTTTCACACAAACAGCAATAAATGGGATGGGGGCAAAGGTCCGCATGGGCAGATTATTCCAAAAATTGCCTTCTAAGGGATGTCTCATTCCTCCTTCCTCTAAAGTATTTGTATTGACTGTAGGCAGCAGTCAGTGACTGGAAAGACAAACCACTTCTTACCGCTTCTGGCTCCCTCCTGCAGCAAGACCAGAGCACCTTCCCACCTGCTGTGTCCCCAGCATGACACTGAGACAGGGTTTTTGATCCTTCCTGGAGCACCAAAAGCAGCTGCTTGGGTGGGTGCTGAGTTCCAGTCTGTGCCTTCTCTCTAGTCAAAGAACATTTCACATCCTCAGCCATATGTGACTGAGAGAGGTAAAAATAATCTTGTCATCTTTTTTTTTCATTGATGTGCAGTGATATCTCCCCGATTCATTGCTGAAATGAACCAGAATTAATCTCAGCCAAAATTCTGCCTGGTGATGGGAATGCACGTATTAGTGATACACATCAGCACACCTTCCTTCAGGAACACTGCTATCTGGATAATATCAGTGAAGGTCAGCAAAGGGAAGGTGGGGCAGGAAATTACTTGAGAGGTTATCCCAAATTTAAATAGAGCTGACAACTGCACAGCCGGATTTGTGGAAATCTTCCTTTTCATGGCCTCCCTCATCTGAGGTAGATCAGGAACTCAGGTCTTTCTGTGCCCACAAAGTTAAAATAAAAATATTCACCTGGCCTTAAACTCCCTCTCTGTGAAAATGTGTCCTGACACCCAAATCAGAGCAGGAACTCTCCTTCCCCCAACAGCTGCCCACTCCCAAAAGATGGCATCCCAGTTCCTGACCTCTCCAGAGCTGTGCTGCAGCACTCTCATGGTAGCTTTTCCCTGCCTCTCAGGCTCACCTGGCATACTCTCCCACCAAAATACATCCATTGCAGGCAGTGGTTGCTGTTTCCCCCTCTCTCTGCAACCCAAACCTTGAGCTCATTACCCTCTGCAGATGTGGTGGCTGGAAGCTGGGGGACAGAGCAGGGTACCCTCTGCTGACCCCCCTCCATAACAACTTTAATGTCCCACAGCCTGGCTCCTACCCCTGGAGAAGATGGCAGGCATTCCAACATGGAGCTGATCACATGAGCTGCACATTAAGAGGCCTTATTTTTTGTTGTGTGTTGTTTTGGTTTTTTTAAGACTTTATTTGTCTAACATGCTTGACCAAAAATTACAACACTCAAGTTATGCCAAAATGATTAAATAATCTTTAAGCTTTCATACCTCAAGTACTTTAAATGATATTTTGAAGTAACAGTTGCTTTAATATCCTTTCCACATAAAAATACACAGTATTTGGAAGATACCTTAGGAAAAATTATTTTTAAGAGAATATTTTATGGTTGACATAGAAATTTTGCTGAGGCTAATAAAAGGACCTGTTCCCTTCACTTCAACATTTAAGTGCCGTGAGCGAATGTAAACATTTCAGACTTTAACATACAGCCAATTTCCTGCCACATTTTTTGTAGACCACTTGAGTTGTGACTAGATAAGCCACTTTTATTCTAACTACATGCTATTGTTCATCTTCCCAATGATGATAGGAGTTCATATTCAACTATGAATTTCAGTTCTTACTGATTTATAAGCTGATCCTGAAATTTCTACACCAGTAGCTCTGACAAAAGTGGCCCCATCTGAATTAATGACAGACTGCTCATGCACTTGTGAACCACTCCCCCAAAATCCAGTTTCAGGTGTCACCTACTGTTTTGGGTTTCATTTTCAGTAAAATAAACCCAGCACATTAGTTTAGACACACAGTCACCCAACAGATTACCAGAAATTACAGACCTGTGACTTGTCATGTTTTTTGGGGGTCTAGTGGCTTCTTGTGGGTCCACAGCATGAGTCAGTTACTGGGCCTGAATGTCTTGGCTCCAGGCAGCACCTGGAAGAGCTGCTGCACATGGGAAGCCAGTGAAAAGCAGAGTTTATGCCCACCTTGCCGAGAGTTGAGGCTCACATGGCCTGATTTGGCAACACAGGTATTTTAAATTATTTGTATAATGTACATGCAGCTGCTACGTAAAACTCACATTTACATCCATATAACACACACGATTCTCCAATGCATGTGTGCAGGTGTGGGCTATGCACAGATCTGCAACCAGCTCTGAGCTGGCAGTGCTGTGGTGTGCCCAATGTCTGTGAACAAGATTAACGCCTAGATGCTGTCAGCCCCAAGTTCAGGATGCCCACATTCGGAATACAGCAGTTAAATTATCTCCATCAAGTCAAAAGGATGTGTTTGTTGGTTCAAGGCAGAAATACATTTTCTTGCAAGACATGTCTGAAGCCCTGGGGTTTTTTTGGTGGCTTTGTAATCAATTCTTAAGCTTCTGCCTAGGACAGGACTGAAATCCCAGCAGCTTCAATACCTTTGCTAGCACTGCAGGAGAGCTGCACGGGCAGTACCGTGGCTGTGGACCATCCCAACCAGCTCCTGACACATCCCCTGCTTTGCCTGGTCCCAAAAGCAGCTCAACAGGTGGGTTTCTACTGGGTTTGTGCTGAGCCTCTCTCAGCAGTGTCCATGGGTGGGCAAACAGCACTACCAGGTCCCCTGAGGTGACCTCTGCTCTGCACACTTTGTTGTGTACCCACAGCCACCCAAAAGGGAGTGCTTGAACTACACCTGGGTTGATACCTTCCCCTTGACATCCATGTTTCCCAAGGACAAAATTATCACAAGGACATTTAACCACTCCTGCTCAGGGCTAAATTCAAACCAGTAATTTCATAATTGGCTGCATATCCTATTAGCAGTTTTTAAACCAATGGTCCCAGTAGGTTTTATTTAAAATACCATTACTAATCATTAGGTGGGCTCTTTGCAGGTTCTCTTTCTTTTTTCCTTAAATACAATAACATCTTGTTTTACCATATGAAAACACAGTTATATTTTTTCTTCCTTTTTTTTTTTTTAAGGGAAATGTCATTCTTTTTTTTTTTAAACAGGCGAGGCCAGGTTACAAATTCCTGAGTTTATACTGCACTTAACACAGTCTCCCTTCTTAAATGCTGAGCTGTTTACAGCATGCTGGCAATATGCACCATTTCCCTTGCCATCTGTAATGCCAGATGTAGTAAAACTTCATTTCAGTACAGTGAATTAGGGCCTGTATTGCATTGGTTTTGAATAGATGCAAAGACTTAGACCTGGAGGACTTGGAGAAATAGCTTTCCTCCTGTGACTGGTCATTTGTGCACCATCTTTTATATTTGCCATGTTGATTACGGAAAAACGTCTTTACCATCATTTTTATTTTACCAAAAGCTCACTGAAAAACATCTGAAATGAGGAAATCCTAGTCTAAACACTTATGTTTAAACTGTAAACTTTCTTAAAGAAACATTTCTTTGAAAGACATTGTTCTTTTAATAAGTCCAGTATACAGTATGTACAAAGGCCCCTACTAGAGATAAATATATATATATATATATGTATATTTGTATGTGTGTATATATATATATATATATATATATATATATATATATATATGGAATGCATTCACTTTTCTGTGTTCACAAACATTTTAATGGTGAAATGTTAGTCTTTAATCTGGTTCTGGCACCAAAATGTCTTTGTTCCTTGTCCACTTTTGTTACTCTAAATTTATCTGTGAAGAGCTAGCAGGGAGAAAAAGAAGAATTTTGCTTTTTTTGTTGAATGGTTCCCTACTGGGATTCTCAGCCAGCAATATAAAGTTGCTTATGTGTTGGGTACAACTTTAAATCCTCATTATAATCATGTGTTCCTTGGAGTAGGTAAGTCAATAACTATAGGCGGATTAAGTGGCTGGTAATTCACAGTGCACACAGATGCATTCACATAAGTGGTGGTTCCATCAGCCATCACACCATAACCTAAAAAGGAAGAAAAATTCTGGTTACTCTCATTATTCCTTATTATCTTCTTTCATTTTTTAATTCCCTTTATCACGCAATGATAAGGGCCACATTTTTTATTACTCAGAAGGAATTTAAAAATTATCTTTGTGGAAAACATAAATGTTCCCTGAATCAATACCATCTTTGTCCTATAGAATAATTTTTTAAAATTGTGTAAGAAAAGCAAAATGGGACCTCAGTAGCTGGTGGCTATTATCTCTGGCAGCCAGCACACTAAACCACCTTGGAAAGACAGATACTTCTCTCGGCAGAGATTTTTCTCTTAAAACCTTTTTAGTTTTGGAAAGGATGCTTCTGATCATTTAGGCTTGCAGTCATCAATGCAGCAAACTTTGGGCAATTTTAATCTTCCCACCTTTTCTTCCTGTCCTGTGTTGAACATCCTTTAAGCAACCAATGAAGAAAAAGCATTGCTTGACTGAAGCAAGTACCTCTGCATGTGCATCAGGGCAGGATTTGCCTAGTAGGAACCTCTTCTTGGTATGTCTTTGAACTTGTTGACCAAACTTGATGGAAAGCCACTAAAATGCCTGCCCAGGCTGAGAAAAAATGGCTTTATTATTGAATGCATTGGCTAACCGACAAGGTGAATTCACACCCTAAAAAACCAGAACATTTCCACAGGAGAACACACACAACCATGTGTCTCACCAGTGGTGAAAAAGCTTCAGCTACGTCTCATGTCTGGCTAGACACCCCAGGCAAACAATTCCAAAGTTAAATCTGCAGAAAACCAAATTTTCAGCTGCAATTTCTGTAGAAGTACGGTGAAATGCTGTTTCAGAAAGTAAAGAACAGCCTTGATGTTATCAAAAAGAAGACACACTCTCCGTTGTCAAAAATTTTTTAATGAATCACTTAAAAAAAAGTTAAGTTTGATTATATGAATGCCTAATGTTGGAAACTTTCACTGAAATATTATGATCAATATGAAGAACTGCATTCATGCAGTTCTTTTCTTCCTCAAAATCATACATGATTTTGAGGAAATGACCTGGTACAAAGCATTTGTACTAAGATTCAATCTCACCTTTCATAAAGTTAATAGTGAAATGTATTCATTACTATATACACACACTAAGTTCTAGCTATTCAAACTCTAGGTACTGAGGACCCTATGTTTTCTCTGAATGCAATTTTGTGTCTTTCACAGCACTGAAAATTGTATAATTTGCAAACAAAGAAATGGTGGCCAAATTCCTTTTTTTTGGTTCCTTAAAACACCCTGAATAATGCAGGGCCTCCTGCACCTTCCATGGAAAGACTGCACTATAATTAGGGCCCAGGGAGGGAAGAAAACTTTGTCAGGTTCCTGTCACAGGAATTTCTTTAAATCCCTTTCTGTTTGCCACAGAACGACTGCTCTGAGGAAAACACAAAATGCGCAGAGGACAGTCAGCATCGCGGCTAGGACTTTCTGTCTCCTTGGCTACACATTTGAAGAGACCAGACACTTCCTTTTGCAGGAAGATTCCTAATAGTGCAGCTTTCATTCCTGTCCCACTGCCAGCAGAGTTTTCTTGGACATGGCCTCAGTGGAGTACTGGCTATACTGGAAAAAACAGATTTTTACCCAGAGCCCCTGCCATGTTGCTTGTCCCTTCCATGGGTGCATCAGCGGCAAGCCCATGTGCAGAGGGATTTTTTGGCAGACATGGTAGTGCAGAGAGGGAATAGGGAAGAAACATCTCTTATAAGTACCTCTTCCTCCCAGATGTTCAGTAAATGACTGCTGCAGATGTAGCTATGCTCACTCCAAGGAAGAACTCATCTGTTCAAACGATGCTTTCTCTCTACAAAGTGCAGATTCGTTTGCGCAGGCTGCCTGCAATGGGAATTCTCCTCTGCAGAGATTTAGCATCCCACTGAAAAACAGGCTCTGCAATTCCCCATTTGTTTTCTCTAAATTATGATAGTTAACAAGAAGAGTACCTTGTTTCTGTGTTTTGCTACCTACTGTGCCAACTACATTAATTCACAGGATTTACTATTCTGTGGAGGTGCCATTCTCTTTCCTCGAGAGCCAAAGCTGGACTTGGTTTCAGCAGATGTGATTTTGTTTACCTGCCTGAAGCTTCATGGCTTGCTGTTTGCTTATATCCCCTGCAACCCTCTTGGCTTATAATTTCAGAAATGACAATGAGTTTGAACTGTATTCACCAGCTCTCTTGGCTGCAATATCAAAGACTGCTCTAACAGCATTATTTGTTTACTTTGTGATTTAACAGCACTTTGGACATTAACCAGGCATTACCAGGTCACTGCAGATGAGACACACGAGGAGAATGAACCTAATCCTTGAGCTATAAAATAATGATCTGAACATCTTATCCATTAATTTTACACGACCAGCCATGTCACTTCTAATGTGCTGTGGTGAAAACCTCCAGCATCAAATGAGAGAGGGATATCTTAGGAAGGGTTCTTCACAAAACCAGAAGTATCTGAATGCCAGCTCCTCCAGTTTTTCCATCTCTGCACTGCTGAGACCCACAGAGATCCTACAGCAAAGGCTGGAGCAGTCCCAGAAGCAGAAAACTGGCAGCTATGGAGTACCTTTTCTTGCCAGTAAGTTAACACTGCCAAAGATGGATCAGCTGATAATACACACGTACATGCCAATGGTTCACTCCTGCACAGCCCACTGCTTTCTTCCTGGGGTGGCTGCACTGCTTGAAGCCTTGCTGCCTTGCTTTGTGAACAGGACAGGCAGCATCTACCTTTCCCTTTGCCTGGAGATGAACTCCTGCTGTCACTGACTTCAGCAGAGCATATCTGTCACCATTTACTTGGCTTGTGCAAAATGAACTCTTTTTTTTCCCCCCAGTTAAATATCAAATAGTCAACAGAACCACTTGTTTTGTCTGAGCAAAAAATGTTTCCCCTGTCAAAGCAACCAAATGCATCTGTAAGTATCTTGGAACTTCTACACCAATCAGTAGTGATACCCCTCTTCACTTCAGCTTCATATACAATCTGATGGGGAGAGACAACAGTTATTCTACAATCTTGAAGATCAAGCCTTAGAAGCACCCCTCAAAACATTCCTACCCCTTTTACAAGCACAGAAGTTGACACACAGAGATCTTACATGAATTATTGTGAAGCACAGATTCTGCTGAGGAAAAAAAATCCCTCCATCCTAATATTTAGTCACTTTCTGTAACTACTGGACTCGTGTTCTTATTTCAAAATTCACAGTAATCATCCCTGTGAAGGAAGCATTAAGCTGTTTTATAGATGTATAAAATGAAAGATAAGCTCAAGTACAAGTATGACATGTGGATATCAGCCAATTTCACCTCTACATATACAGCTAAATACGTATCTGAATTCAAGAAGTGCTTCAGTTCAGACACTCAAATTTGAACATGCTGGTTAGGACTTCTCTGTTTTCCATTTCTAAAAACATATCTATAAAAAGAAATGTGCTCTGACCTTCATGGATATGTCCAAAAACATGAAGTCTTGGCTGTATTCGTCTCTGGACTGTGTTCAGCAGCTCAACACATCCTACTCGTTGCATTTTCTTAGGAACCCAGTCTAGAAAACCTTTGGAAAAGAAATTAAAGCTTTAAGAGAAGAGAGGTTATCCACACAGCTGTGCTGTTATACAGCATTTTTGAGATATCATGTCTCATGGCTTTTTACAAACAGCCACACAAGAACTGAAATGGCAAAAACTGTGTCTACCTTGGCATGCAGAAAAGGAAGGAAAGAAAAATACTGGCAGAAAACCATAAAAGCTCATCTGGATAAAAAGGACTATGATAACTCTTTCCAGTTTTTTTTCAAAGAATAAAAATAATCATTGCAATCAAAGCATTTTTTTGCACTGTTGTTAATGGGATAACTCAATGCTTTACCCCTTTTTCTTCCTGAAGAGAATGAGGTATAAAGTGCAGTAAATCCAAAGGGAGCCTCTAAAGAATTTAAAAGAACATTTAACTATTTAAAACCAGTCCTGGGACCTACTTTTTTTAGACTGAACACTTGGACCAATGTAATGGAATCTGTGCTGCCAATACTACAACTCTATTGTTACCACATTGAATCCTACAGTAGCGGAGCTCAGGTGAGGAATCCACTACATGCCCAAAAAGTGACATCCTTGAATTAAACCACTTCATGGCACAGCAAGCCCCACTTCCCCAAACTGATGAATCTCAGATAGGAAGAGAAACTCAGGCCTTTTGCAGAAGATGTATTTAAGTGCTGCATTTACTTGCACAAAAATTGTGTAAAAATGTATTTCTTATGAAAATAGACAGAAATGTTACATCAACTTGCCTCTTTGTCTAAAAATACTGCAGGGGGAAGTTTACTGCCAACTGAAGTCCATGTTTCTTTCCAAGCAGTAGTATAAGAAGGATGTTGTATTGGAGTGTTTGCAACAATCAATCTGTTTTCTCTCTATTGTTCAGTCATTTTCATCAGGCTCAGATTTGGAAACCTAGAAGATAAAATCTTCCTGGTTTTATTTTGTTGTTCTGACATTTTCCCTGCAAGCCTGTCATGGCTTTGCATCTCTTGGATTTTCTGCAGTAGTGTGAATATATTGTGCTTTTAGCCAGAGGTACAGAGCCTGGACCTGGTTTTCATACATTTACTTTTGATGTCCACTCAAGCATGGCTAAGCCAAGCAACTGGTTTAAAAGACCAGAAGCGTGGTATTCAAGCTCTTGGAAAAGCTCTCAGATTTGCTAAAGCTTCAGGGTAGATTCACACATTGAGAAATACCTCTTTAGCTGGCAGTGCTTGAAAACTGAGCTTGGTAAACTGTGAGGTTTTAGCAAAATGGCAAAAGTTTGCACTTGTTTCATAGCTACTCAGAGAGCTAAGTCCAATTTTCAGAAGAAAAAAAAAAAAAAAGCTGGGAATGAGGCATCCCAAGTGCCAAAAAGAGGAAGTTCTGATCATGGTCAAAGACCTGAAGGTGCTTTTTGCTGATTCGCACCTGTCAGGGAATGTAGAAAAAGAAAGTCCTGCTGAGCTACAGCCAGGCTGAGCAATGCTCACTCCTGCTGAATTCACATGTGCCATTGAAGGGAGGTCAAAATTCTCCAGAGAAAAACAATACTTATGATATCAAAGTGAGGCCAGCAATTCCTCTGGAATAAAGTAATGTTTGGCTTTTTTTTTTTCAGAGTAAACATATTATAGCCATAGGTTTTATTACTCCAATGATTTGAAACAGTTAATTGTCAAAATGTCTGAAGTGAACATAAAACCAGAAGTATTTCCACTTCAAAAACTTCCAAAAATCCATAAAATTAACTTCTCCATTAAATTAAGCATTATTTATGTTGAACATGTTTTTGTTTACATGCATTATCACCCTTCTGAAGCCTTCCCATATGTTTGCAGCTTATTATGTACACCTGACTACACAGACTAAGAATAATTGATTACACCTAGCTAACAATTAGAGTTCATCTTAGAGTTTTTTTAATGTTTGGTTACTTGAAACAGGTTTCTGCAGCTGTCAGGAAAGTATAAATCTTTGTCACAGACTATCAAGCAGACAGTAGCAAATGAAGACTTAAAAACAACGAAAAGAATGTGAACTTTTGGAAGAGAAATAAAAGAATCATAAATGGAGATCTTTAGGAAACAAAAATATGCTGATAAGGAAATGAGCATGAACACTGATCCCATAATCACAAATTCTGTATTTCATAAGCTATGAAATACATTGCATATCTTTGTTAATAATAATAAACAGGTTACTAATAAAATGGTCCAAAATAGCTGTTTTAACCTCTTTTTGTTCCCATTCTGTGTGAACCTCCCATCTATCCCTGCCCTAATTTCATCCCAAAGCCCTACTCTAAACCAGAAGAGAAAAATTATGTGGATTTTTGTTACATGGCTAAATGAAAAACAAAATTCATTAACTCTTTATGGTGCTTCTGCATCTAAATCTGACCATTTCAAATCTATGTAATAATGTAGTATCAATTAGTTCAGGAGGATACACACTCTTGAAGTGAGGGAATCAGAGAGCAGCAGAAAATAGATGATAGGCTGAATTTAGGAAGCCATGCTGGAGAAAAAAAACCCCAGAATTTGCAGAGATTGCTGCAACTGATTGCTATTTATGGTCGTTAGGAACAACTCCAGTGAAGTCGAGTTCCAAGATCAGAACAACAGGAATCAGCTTTCTGGTTAAAATAATTGGCTGGGGGGGGGGGGGGGGGGGGGGGGGGGCAA